ACTGCAGTCACACGGCTGAGGGACCCCCGAGGTCAGGGATGGAGCAGCAGGGACACCTTGATTCCTTGCAAGCCGCATTGGAGACTGGTGAGGCAACAGCATCCCTGCCCAGCCCAGGTCAGGCACAGCATCCCTGCCCAGCCTATGACAGGCACAGCATCCCCGCCCAGCCCAGGTCAGGCACAGCTCAGAAGGCTGGGAAAAGCCCTGGGATGCACTTGGCACAGCTCTGCCAGCGACACCCTGGCAGGAGCCCAGTCTGTGGGCAGCCTCCTGGCTCCAGTGGTTCCTTCTCCCTTTTCCTGAGATGTCCTCCTGGGGCAGACACTGCCAGTGTCCTCCCCTCAGCTGCTGCCAAAACTGTGCTTGTGTTCTGCCAGGGCTGGGATTTCCTGGAATGTTTAGGTTGGAGCTGGGACAGTGCTCCTGGAGGGGCCCTCCCTGTGTTGAGGAATCACAGAATCATGGAATCTTTGGTTTGTGTTGGAAAGGACCTTTAAAGTGCATCTTGTCCCAAGCCCTTGCCCTGGGCAGGAACACTTCCACTATCCCAGGTTGCTCCAAGCCCCATCCAACCTGGCCTTGGACACTTCCAGGCATGGAGAAGCCACAGCTCTCAGATCAGCCTGTGCCAGGGCCTCACCACTCTCCCAGGGAAGAATTTATTTTCAATATGCCATCTAAACCTAATCTCAGTTTCAAGACAGTCCTTGTCCTGTCACTCTGCACCCTCATCCAAAGTCCTTCTCCAGCTCTCTTGGAGCCCTGCACGAAAGCCAGGCTGATCTGCAGGGAAGAGTTGAGTGGTAGCACTGGGGACCAGGGGCTGGTCCAGAGGCAGCAGAGAGCTCAGAAGGCAGGGGAGAAAGGAGGGGAGAGCCCAGAGCCGCGGAGCCTGCGAGTGCCGACAGAAGGATGCGCTGTCTGCCAGGAGCAGGAGCTGTGCCTGAGGCTGGGGGGTCTGGGAAGGAGCAGAGTGGAAAAAACTCCCGTTCCTTTCACCCTGCAACACACAACAGGCCCCTGCAGCAGCACATCGGGCTGGGGAATGTGCTGGGGAATGTGCTGGGGAAGAGGCAGGAGCAGGCAGGAGGCAAAAAATGTGCCAGGATGCAAAACAAGGTGCATTTTAGGACTGCCAGGGATGAAGCTGCTCAGAGGAAGCACAAACACACCTGAGGGGCTGTGCAGGACAGCTCTGCTTCCACTTCCAGAGCCCAGCCTGAGCAGTGCCAGGGGAGGATGCGTGGGCACCGGATGGCAAAATCTGCAAAACAAAGCAGGGCTTTCCTTGTGCCAGGAGCAGTGACACGTGTCCCAAACGGCTCCACGTGGCACTGCCACAGGGCAGGGCAGGGCAGGGCAGCACTACCAGGGCTCTGCCTGGACCCAGGATCTGCCTAGACCCGGGATCTGCCTGCAGGCAGCTCAGCTCAGCTCAGCCACTCACCCGGGACCTGGGCAACGGAGGAGGGAGGCACTGGATCCCCTGGGGCTCCTGGAACTGACAGCATTGGCTTAGGGGAACAGGAAATGGGTTGTGGAGGAAAAAGGCAAGAAGGAAGACTCACAACAGTTTCTCCACTAGCACTTAAGAGTTGTAAAGGGACGCTCCCATCTGGGAACAGTCTCTCCCCATCCCTGGTGCCGCAGCACACCCTCACATCCTCACTGAGGCACTCCCAGGCTGCTGAATCTTGGGCATTGCCTCGCAGGGAGCTCCTGTCCTCTGCATGCCAGATGCATTTATTCTTGGAGACAAGCAACTCCTGCAGCCCGAGGGCTGCAGCACAATGGGCCAGAACCTCGGAGCCAGTATTCCCTGAATCCCTGTGTTCCTGCATACCTGGAGCCAGAATCCTGCACATCCCAACTGCTGCATTCCTAATAGCCTGTGTCCCTGGAGCCAGTCCCCGTTCCCTTGGTGGCTGCATCCCTGCGTGCTCCCACCCCTGGGACCAGCATACCCAGACTGCTGCAGCCCCCAGTGCCTGAATCCTTGAAGCTACTGTCCCCGCACGTCCTACTGCACCCTCGGTGCCCCCGCACCTCCGTCTCCTCCGCCACCCAAGCCTCCGCATCCCCGGGGGCCGTGTCCCCGCATCCCTGGGTGCCCGCGGCCGGGATGGGCGCTCTCTCGGGGACCATCGCCGCCTCCTCCCGCCGCTCCATCCCCGGGACCCCTCCCGACGTGCCGCAACCCCGCGGCTCCCCCGCCCCTCCGGGCCCCTCCCGGCAGCGCGGGGCGGGAGCGCGGGGCGGGGGCGGGCGCGGCGCGGGGCGGGCGCGGGGGCGGGCGGGCTGTGCGGGGCCGGGGCCGCAGCTGCCGCCCGGCGCGGTCCCGGCGGGGGCGGCGCGGCCCCTCCTGCCCGGGCTGCTGGGAGTTGTGGTCCGCGGCGGCGGCGGAGCGGCGCGGAGGGAGCGCGGCCCCGCACGGCCCCGCACGGCCCCGCACGGCCCGGCGCGGGCGGCAGGTCGGTACCGCAGCGCTCCGCAGCGCATCGCGGGGGGGCTGTGGGGGTGCGGGGCGGCAGCGGGGCCCGAGGCGGGGGCGCAGCCCGAATTTCTCCCCCCCGGGCCGGGGCAGGGGCTCGGCGTGGGGCGGGCGGCACGGTGACAGCGCGGCGGCAGGTGCCACCGGAGCGCCGGGCGATGGGACACCGGCACGGCCGTGTCTTTGCCACGCCGGGTGATGCGGCCACACCGGTGACACCCGCTGACGCCGCCACGCTGGGTGACACCGTCACACTGGGTGAGAGCAGCGCGCGGGTGACACTTACTCTGGTGGCACCGGCGGGGTGGCATGCTCAGGAGAGGGTGAAGAGAGCACCCACTGCTCCGGTTCCGGAGTGGCAGCGGGCATCCCGCCTCGCCCCAAGGCTCCTGCTCCTCGTGCTGCTCCCAAAGGCGACACCAGCCGTGCCGAGCCGAGGACATCCCCGCCACGCGTCCCCGTCACTGCCGGCCCACGGCCCGGGGACCCTGGCCGGGCTGAGCGGAACCCGCTACCTCCAGGAGATGCCGGGGCCACCACGGAGCCACCGAGATGCAACTTTGTGCTGCATCGAAGCCTCTGCCTTCCTTATGTAACACGGCTGCTGCTGGCACGGTGCTCGCCTCCACGTCCTGCACAACTTCGGTGCAACGTGGAATTGATCTGCACTCCCTGGAATGGCTCTGCCATTATCATTAGCTGAGGAGCCTTTTTCTAGGATCTCAGGCCAGGGGTGCTGGGTGTGACCCGTCTCGGTGCAGGGCTGTGGCAGGGAGGTGATAGCACCCACTGGGTGCCCCACGCAGCCCCAGCCATGTGTGTTGGGAGCAGTGCTGATGTTTAGGGCCCTGCCCCAGTGCTGGCACAGCCCCTCTGGAGGTGAGTTTGGTCAGGTTTGCAGTGGGGTGTCCGTGCTGGTACAGGAGGCAGCTCCTGGGCTGGTCCCATGGAGATTGTGCCCAGAGGACCCCAGGGCTCTGCAGCCCGAGGCTCCTGAGCTCTCTGGGGTCAGGCAGGCAGCATGTGGGCACGGGAGCTTGGATTTCTTGCTGCTCTGATGGTTTCCCCCTGATCTGAGGAGTTTCCAGCATCCCTGGGGCAGCAGTGGGGCCGTGTTTGTGCTGTGCCACCCTTACAGGATGTGACTCTTACCTGGGGACCCCGAGGCTGTCGGACCCCCTAGTTCTGTTCCCCCTGTGCCTTTATGTTGCCATCGGCTCTGACTGAGCATGGCTGCTGTGCCTGAGTAGTTCCCCCTTGTAGGGCAGGAGCCACTCTGAATACACATCACCCAGGGCTCTGCTCCTTCCCTAACATGCCCCAGCCCTGCAGGTAGCACGGGGGTTGTGCCAGCCTCAGGGATCACCCCTCGGACTGACTCTGTGGTTGCAGCCCGGGAGCGGAGGCCTGGGCAGGAGAAGCGGGAGTGTCTGGAGGAATGCCAGCCGTGGAGATGGAGGAAAGTTATCTTGAGATTCCCGGGAGGCTCTGACATGCCACGTGGACTGCAGATCCCGGAATGGGGCATGCAGGCAGTGTGCTACAAGGAAGTAGGGTGGAGGGAGGTTGGGTGTGTGGATGTTCCTCCCTGGGGTGTAGCACTGTCTGAATCCCAGGTCTCCAGCCCTGCAGCACGTCCCTGCTGTAGGGTCAGATCCCATCTGCAGCCCATCTCCATCACCACTGATAAGGGAATGCACATTGAGAGGCTGCAGGACCTTGGCAGGAAGGGCTGGGGAACGTTTGGATGACTTGCTACTTAGAGACAGTGCTCTTACCGATGAGCTGGTGAAATCAAACAAACCATCCTGACCTGCTCCTGTGGCCATGTGCTGGCCCTGTGGCCATGTGCTGGCCCTGTGGCCATGTGCTGGCTGAGCTCTGGGCTCTCCCACAGCTCAGTCTCTGAAGGGACCGTCACTTCAGAGCCATCAGATGGAGGGGATAAGCTGATGTGCTGCCAGATAGGGCAGTGAAGTGTCTACTCTCAGTGTATATTCACTTAGCAGCCAGATTTCAGACATGATAAGGCAGCAACTTAGAAGAGAAACTGGAGGACATGCAGGAGGGGAGATGATCACTGGGGTGGTGGGAGATGGGGTCTGGGTCTCCCCGCTGCCTTTTATTTGGGTATTTGTGGAAGATGCTGTAGAGAGCACTGAGCGATTTACTCATCAGGGGCTGATGTTGGGTTCCTTATCCACGATTCCCTCCCTGAGGAGCCAGTGCCCCACCCAACTCTGGCTGTATCCTGTGCACTGACCCCAGCAGGGACCCCAGGGGGCAGCCTTCTCCCTAACACCTCTGGGTTTCTCTCCCCAGAACCTCCCTCCGACACAGCCTTTCAGGATGATGCACCCAGGAACACCAGTGGGGACCCTCCAGCCACGTTGCTGCTGACCCAGGGGTGCTGCTGGGCACCGCTGCCAATGCAGAGCTCCCGGGAGCACGGGGCAGAGCCGCTTGCCCATGGCAGCCCCTTCCCGCCGCGCCCCGGCCCAGCTGCATGGTGTGGGTGCCCCTGAGCCCCACGAGCAGTGACCGCCGGGCCCCGCTGCGCGCTCCCAGCACCACCACCATGTCTTTGGAGTGGCTGATGGACTGGAGCTGGTCCCTGGACGGCCTCCGGGATTTTATCGCCACCGGCATCCAGTCTTTCCGCGACTGCGACGCCACGGCCCTGGTGGCCGTCGCCTGCCTGCTGGTCCTCTTTGTGTGGTACTGCTACCACGTGGGGCGGGAGCAGCCCCGCGCCTACACCACGGTGAATGCGCTGATGCAGAGCGCCGAGGCCAACGGCGTGCAGAACGGCTTCGTGTACTGCCAGTCGCCCGAGTGTGTGCGCTGCTCGCACCACGACGGCCTCAACCAGAAACTCTACCACAACCTGCAGGAGTACGCCAAGCGCTACTCCTGGTCCGGCATGGGCAGGATCCACAAGGGCATCCGTGAGCAGGGCCGCTACCTCAACAGCCGGCCCTCCATCCAGAAGCCAGAAGTCTTCTTCCTGCCCGACTTGCCCACCATGCCCTACTTCTCCCGGGACGCTCAAAAGCACGATGTGGAGTTGCTGGAGCGCAACTTCCAGACCATCCTGTGTGAGTTTGAGACCCTGTACAAGGCGTTCTCAAACTGCAGCCTCCCACAAGGATGGAAAATGAACAGCACGCCCAGCGGGGAGTGGTTCACCTTCTACCTGGTGAACCAGGGCATGTGCGTGCCCAGGAACTGCCGGAGATGCCCACGGACGTACCGCTTGCTCGGGAGCCTCCGTACCTGCATTGGCAACAATGTCTTTGGGAACGCCTGCATCTCTGTGCTGAGCCCAGGCACCGTCATCGCCGAGCACTACGGGCCCACCAACATCCGCATCCGCTGCCACCTCGGTGAGTGTCCGGTGCCATGGTTCACGTGTTGGGAGGGTACAGAGGGGCTGCGGCCGTGCCTGGGTGCAGGAGCCCTGAAAAAGCCTCTGGCACCCCATGCTCTTGGGGCTCAGACCTGCTCTGCTTTGGCCTGAGGGAGGTTTTGAGGGTGACAGCCTCCTGAGGAGAGGTCGATACTCAGTCCCTGGATTTCTGACATCTCCAAGATCTCCAGATCAGCAGCAGGAGGGTTTCGCATCCTCCTCCTGTTGACCCAGAGCCGTGGAGGCTTGCTGGTGTGCAATACAGGGCTGATTTTACATAGGGGTCTCTGAACATCCCCCTCTCTGCAGGTAGGTCCCTCTCCCATCCTGGGATGTGGGGCAGCCTGGGGCGCTGCTCCAGGACTGTGCTGTGCCACTGGCAGCTCCCCTCTCTTGGATTCTCGGGTGCTGTGCATGGGTGAATGAGAGTAGAGATGCTGCTTTGGGGTTTGCAAAGCTGCAGGTCAGGGCAGGGCGGGTCCTGGGGTGTCCCCTGCGGTGGGTCAGGCACTGGGTTGGTGGCACAGTGCTCCCTGCTCGGCAGGCAGGGACGGGGAGAGCCCACACGGCACAGATGGCCGGGCTGGCACAGCACCGACCGTGCCGGGGGAGGCACCGCACGGGCCCGGCTGGCAAACACCAACCGCGCCTGTTCAGCCAACAGCTCGGGTAAACACACCCAGGCAGTGCTGGCCATTTGTTTGGAATGGCAATTGATTTCAGAGCTGAGCCCAGGAGCTGCTGGGCAGCTGGGACCTGCCCTTGCTGGTGCCAGGAGGAAGCCTGTCACTGACCCCTTTCTCTGGGGCACTGGGGAATGTGCTCCCCTCGTGAGGGGCTGAAGGGGAGGAACCAGTGATGTCCCAGTGGACCCAGGTGAGCACACCTGCATCACACACACCCTGGGTAGAGGAAGTACACGGGTCATTCGCTTGTCTCTCCTCTAGGACTCTGCACTGGGCTGGGGGCACTGGCACCTCCACCTTGGTGCTGAGAATGCAGCTCTTGTTGTGCCCAGGGCATGGATGTGTTTAAGACACAACCTGGCCTTTCAGGCAGCTGGATCTGCAAAGCCAGCACAGCCATCAGGGGGGCGAGTCACTCCCGAGGATTTACTCCAAGCACAGGCAGCATCCCTGGGCCAGGGCAGCATCCCGAGGGTGTGGGTGGGTTGGAAGGGCTGCAGGCTGCTCCCTCCCTGCATCCCCCAGCAGCTCAGCTTCCCTGTTCCAGCATCTCCAGCTGAGGCTGTTGTGCAGGGAAATGGCTTTGGGTTTTGCAGCCTTTGAAACAGCAGCTCTGTAGTCCCAGCTTTGCCGGGCGGCTGGGAGTCCCTGCTGCGCTGGCTGGGTTTGGCATCGCTCTTGGATCCGTCCTGCTCGTTTGCTGCATCGTTACCGTTCAGGAGCCACGTGAGCCCTGACCCCTTTCTCTGCCACGGCCGCATCTTTGGGGCAGGATGGCTCTGCAGAAGCTCCAGTGTCCCCAGCACTGCGGGGGGTGACAGTCCTGGTGCAAGAGGTGATGGGATCAACCCCTGTCAAACTGCCTTGGTTTGTGCTGGTATTTTAAGAAAAGACCCATTTTATTTCTATGATTGTCCTTCATGTGGCCCTCACAGAGCTGCTTCCTTCCCTATGAGCGTTTTGGAGCCCCCTGGATTTCTGTCCTTGCAGCCCCATGGGTCATCCTGAGGCAGCACCTTGGGTGGGGACTGAGAGATGGGGCAGGTCCATGGGGAGCTTGTGGCAGAGCCACAGTTGAGCCCATTTTCCAGCCCCAGCACAATTCCTGCTCCCCCAGCCTTGCCTGCAGCAGGGTCATCGCTGGAGGGCTGGAGGAAGGAGCAGGCAGGATCTGCCTTTGGTCTTGAAGCTGGAAAATATCCCAGGAGCTTGGTTCCTTTGTGCACACCTCAGGGCCGTGGGCTCTGGAGACTGGGAAGCTGCTCCAGATATGAAAGTAGTTGCCTGCGGTGCTGAGCTTGCTGGGGACAGTGAAAGGGCAGGAGGGAGCAGACAGAGAGTGGGCAGGGGCTGCGCTGCTCCAGGTTTGGGGTTCAGGTCACTCCCTGCAGGGGAGTAGCCCCTCAGCAGCAGTATGGGGCTCACTGTTTGCTCCCTGCTGCCTCACCACAGGGAACTCAGCATGGCCTGACCCTCCCTGTCCTCTCTCTTTGTGCCTGAAGGTCTGAAGACTCCCAGCAACTGCGAACTGGTGGTGGGGGGCGAGCCCCAGTGCTGGGCTGAGGGCCGGTGCCTGCTTTTCGACGACTCCTTCCTGCACACAGCATTCCACGAAGGTGAGTTCAGTGTGTGGGGCCTCGCGGTGTCCCCTCCGGTGCTGGGGACAGGGGATGAGTTGGGGGGGTACCCCCAGTCTCTCCTCCTGCCCCAGCAGGGCTGGAGTCCCTGTGTCCTGTGGGGCTCAGGCCCTGCTTCCCTGGCCTGCCCCAGGCGGGAGCAGCCCTGTCCCTGCCATGGCCATGCTCCCTCTGCCTCAGGGTGCTGGGGCATCCTGGCACCCTTTTCCTGGAGCCCTCTCAGCCAACCCATGTCTTGCTCCCATGCTGACTTTGTTCATGGTGCTGTCACAGCACAGGGCCTGCTCCTGCCATAGCAGCTCAGCTTCCTTCATGGCCGAGCTCTGCAGGGCTGTGAAACCACGGCCTCGGCCTCCTCCGGCCCTGTTCGGCTCAGTGCTGACGTGCCAGCAGCTCCTTTGTCTCCCACACCGGGGAACAGCCTCACACCCGCTGGATTGTCCCTCCCTCCACCGCTGACGGAGGCTGTTCCGCTCCAGCTCTCCCGGATTAGCCGGCATTAGTCGCCAGTGGCATAAAAGCATCAGGCAGAGCTGTTCTACACAGGGGAGCGTGTGGAGAGAGTGGGAGAACAAAAGCTGTTGCTTCCCCATCAGACCTGCTGTGGGATTGGGAAGCACAGCTCCGTGCAGGGCCGGGAAGGCTGGAGTGGCGCAGCAGCCATTCCTTGCACAGATCCAGGACGCAGCTGCAAGGAGGCCCTGCCTCAGGAATCCTCCAGAGCAGCCCTGGCAGGGAGGAGCCTGCCCTGAATCCCTGAGCTCCCAGTTGTTTACTAGGGTTGCACTGCCTCCACACCCTCACCCTGCACTTTCATCCCGCCAGGTGCCCCGGAGGAAGGTCCCCGCGTGGTGTTCATGGTGGACCTGTGGCACCCCAACGTGGCCGCGGCCGAGCGCCAAGCCCTCGACTTCATCTTCGCGCCGGGACGATGACGGCGCTGCCCGGCCTGGTGGGTTCAGGGCAGCTCGGCCGGGGCCTCTCCCGGCACACACGGCCTCGGTGCTCCCTTCCCGGGGGTCTTGTAAATGGAAACTGTGACGTGTATCCATCTCCTTCCTCCATCGTTGGCTTGAGGGATTCTTTTCCAAGCGCCGGCGCCTCGGCCCCGCCGGGGCTCGCTGCCCCCCTGCTCCTTCGTGTTCTGTTGCTACTGTGTTTTGCGGTGTTCAGAAGTAGAGTAACAAACCCAAGGGTGCTCGTTTGAATGTAATGTAAAATTTTTCTCGTGGTCATCAAAGGAACAAAACACACACACACACACACCATAACAGCCAACCAGCCTGCCCTGCCCGGCTGCGGTCTGGGATGGACGGACAGATGGACACTGAGGGCTGCCATGGGCACTGTGCTCCCCCCAGGCTGGGTCTGATGGGGTGGGCAGGGCACAGCTCTGCCCACAAAGAGCCCTCCTGGGGCTTCTGCTTCCTCCTCCATGTGCCAGCTGGGGCTCCCCAGCCCTCCTGCCTCAGAAACCCCTTTTGTTACCCAGGCAGGGAGCAGAGTCCATCGCCAGCCCAGCAAGGCAGGAGCCCTGACCTCCACCCTGCTGAGGGAACAGCACACACAGTCTGACCAAGGGTGTTAGCAATTGCCCAAATCCCCTCCTTGCTCTATTTGCAGCCTTCAGTTTTCCCAGCCCCAGGAGGGAGGCCTGCAGGGGCAGGAATGCTGTTTGGGAACAGAGAAAGGGGGTTTTGTCTGTCTGTAGGAAGAAAGGAGGTCACCATTCCTTCTGCTGCTCCATCTTCTCCTTTCCTCAAGCCAGGGCAAGCACACACAGCAGCAGCTCCCATGGACCTGACACTACCACAGGAGAGGCTCCCAAGGGGAGTTAATTCTGCAGCCTGAGCAATGAGCCCCCACCCTGGGGTCCTGCCCACCCAGGGACCACCACGCTTTTCCTGAAGTCCCCCAGCACCAGGATCTGTTTGGGGTCTGGGGGCTGGTTTATAACACCCCCCCAAAGCACAGTGTGTGGTGGATGCTCACAGCTCTGGCTGGGGATCCTTTGTCTCCCTGTCCTGCCAGGGAGGGACCAGCCCTGTCCCCCAACAACTTCTTTACAGACTTTTCAGTGATTCGATTGCAAGATAAGGCAGAGATTTCAAATACATCTGAGATATTTTTTACACCCGTCTTGTTACAGACTACCTGAAGTGCATGATTTCTACACGCATTGGCTACCTGGACACAGGCCCTGGGGAAGCAGGCTGGCTCTGTCCAAAGGTTGGTAACATTCATACAGTGGATAAGCAAAGATTATCAATAAACAGTTGTGCTGAAAACAGAATGGGCTTTGCCTGCTGCTCTGACGAGTCCAGGGTCAAGCAAACACTGAGGGGTTGGGTTCTGCTTGTCTGGCTGCTGGTGGGGAGAAATGGCCTGGAAAGAGCAGGAGCTGCAGGATGGGAGGGGGTATGGGCCTGTTTGTCAGTGATAGAGTGAGTGAGGGTAGTGCTCTAAAATACCCAACCCTTGGAAACTCTGTCCTGACCAGTTACAGCCTCCCAGACCTGGACTTGGCCGGTTGGATGAAGCCAACCTGATCTAGTGGGAGAATCCTTGCCCATGGCAGAAAGTTGCAAATGGATATTTGAGGTCCTTTCTAACCCAAACCGTTCTGGGATTCTGTGATATCAGTGGAGCCCAGGCTTCCAAGGAGCATTGGGATCTCCCACGGTCCACTGGTGTGGGCACAGCTGTGGGTTCCAGCCCTGCTGCCTGGCCCAGGGCAGCAGACTGTCCCCAGCCATCCTCAGGAGCAGCAGCAGGCCCAAAGCTCCCCAGGCCCCACAGAAGCCAGCAGCCTTGCTAGAGCATCCACAAAACATTTCAGGAATTGCTTCCAGCTGCCTGCACTGATGCATCAAAGGCAGCAGCTTCCCAGAAGCAGCCCCATGGCAGAGGGTGCTGCTCAAATCCCACCCAACTGCCTGAAAACCAATGCCTCACCCCCTTAAGCACAAAGCCAGCTTGGCAGGGCAAGAATTGCTCCCCAGAGCCCCCCTGGCAGTGCTCAGACTGGCCCGGCTGCTCCTCCTCCCCTGATGCTCAAAATGCCCCATCTTCTCCAGCACAGCCATCACTCCATGGGCTGAGAGCTCTCTGTGTGCTGTTCCCTCCTGACCAGCACAGGGCAGGCATGGGCTGGGTGGCCAGGCATGGGCTGGGTGGCCAGGAAGGGCTGGGTGGGCAGATGCAGCCCGAGCAGCTGAAGGAGCAGAGCCAGCCCAGCTGTTCCTGGCCGGCAGACGGCTCAGCAGATTGCAGCAGAAGCTCCCTGACGGCAGCAGGCAGGAGCATCCATCCAGCTTGTGCTTTGCTGCTGTGCCAAATCTCCCTCCTGTCCCTCTCAGGCTTTTCCTTCCACTTCTCTGTTTCTTGCTAGAACACACAACCACTTCCCAAGCGCCCAGGCAGGATCCAGGCGGATTTCCCTGGGGAGCAGAGCAGGCTGGAGCTGTTCCTGGTGCTCCAAGGCTTCTTCTGGGAATTGCAGAGGGAGCCCAGATCTGCTGAGGGCACAGAAGGGACAGGCAGAGCAGCATCTCCCAGAGGGAGCACTTGGCTCAGCTGAGCAGGGATCCCAGAGCACACAACCCTCATCCCTCCCGCCTCCTCCCTCCCCACGAAGCCTCTCTGATGTTCTTCCTCACGCTGCTCCCTGTGCTCCCTCCAGAACCAGAGCAGTTTGTCCATCACCCAGTGGAAGTGTGATGGGAAGTCACCAGGGAAGCAGCACTTTACCTTGTGCCATCTTCACATGGATGTCACTGAAGCAGGAGGTCACCAGGATGGCTCCAGCTCAGGTTTCCCACGGAGTTTTCACTCCTACCCTGCCAACAGGCTCATGACAGTCCTTCCATGCCCAGGATGGGAGCAGTGCCACACAACTCTCCTTCTGAAACACCTCCTCAGCTGCCAGGCCTGTGCCCAGCCACCCCTGAGCAAGCAGCTGGAGTCCTCTGAAATTCCCAGTAGAGCAGTAGAGCAGCCCTGGCATGGCAAGAATGACCTTGGGAGCTCTCTGTGCTGGAGTGGGACCAGAAGCTGTGGCAGTGGTGACCTTCCCATGCCCAGCTCTGACACTGGCATGAGCCTGCTCAGCACCTGACCACGGTCATGTCTCAGCTCACCATCTCTTGGTGACATCAGTCACACATCAATCCATCAGGAAGCTTCCAAGCAGCTGCTCTGCAGGAATGATTGAACCAACAGGCTCTGCCTGTTCAACCCCAGCACTGCAGGAACCACCCTTGGCATGGAGCTCAACAAGGAACAGCTCCCACAACCCAGCCCATCACACCAGGAACCACAAATGTGACAACAACGTGACTCTGGCTGCTGACACACAGTGCTGGGATGAGGCTTGAGACTCCTTTATTTCCACAGTCACACTGAGGGGTGTGTCTGCACCAGCAGCAGGTTCCAAGCCCAGCCAAACACAGGTATCCATCCCTCAGTCTAAGCAGCCACCACCACGGGTGCCCTGGCCACCACTGACTGGGGACACTGTCAGAGCAGAAAGGGAATAGCTGCTGAGGGGATACAAAACTTCTTTGGTCCCATCAGCTCAGAGGCAACTTTGGGGTCTGCAGAGTGTGGGCAAACAGCAGTAAGAGCAGTGAAGTGAAGTGCTGCAGCAGGAGGGACAGAGCACAGGGCTGAGGGACACTCACACCACCATCACCAGCCCCTGTGAGGCTGCACACCCAGGTGGGCACAAAGAAGGCAGGACTGGCCTGGACCATCACTGACCAGGGAGTTGTGGTGGGACAGGGAAATCCCTCCAGAGTCACCTATGGGGTAAAAACCTCCTGGGAGCACCCAAAGGGGGATTGTGAGCTCTGTAGCTCTTGTCCTGCTCCTGTGTGAGAACAGGCAGGCACTGCTAACCGAGGTAAGGCACTAGGTCATGGCAGGATCATTCCCATGGATTAAGGGATATAAATAAAGCCAAAGTCTGACCAGGGCAAGTGAAGGCAAAGACAGTGGCTGACTGACACATCTGAAAGCCAGCACTGCCTGGGGGCTGTGTAACTCACAGCAAGGTGAGGCTTTGCCTCAGATCAAGGCACGTGGGGCGTCTGCAGAGCACCAAGAGAGTCCCTGTAAAGTCCATGTAAACCAAGTGCCCCAAGACACTGCATTCTGTCTCAGTCTTTGGTAAATGCTGTCAATGACACCTGCACTGGCCCAAAATGTGCTGCAGGACAGGGCAAGGACTGTCCCTTCCTCAGGGCCAGGCAGGCTGGAGACCCATCAGAGGCAGGGTAGGGCCTCCTGCCTCTGTTAGCATAAACAGCTGAGATTTTCCTTACTGGAGATGAATGTTCCACAGGGCTGAGCCATTGAGCACAGCAGCTCACAGCAGGTTCACCCCATGCTTCAGCAGCTTCTGCTTGGCCTTGCTGGGCAGGCTGAAGGCGCTGTCATGAGGGTTGGGGACGCCTGAGTTGCGGAGTGGAGCTCCCAGCTGCTGGAAGTAGGTCTCCTGGACTGGATTCCTGCAGGCATACACGGCTGTGGAGGCATTCCTGGAGGGGCAGGGAAAGGCAGGGGTCAGATTGACAGCTTTGGGCAAGATTCACAGCTGGGCACTGGGTTCCTAAGTTTTGAGAGGGACTTTCAGGTGTCTCAGCATAGGAACATGGAGCTGAACAGGCACCAAACTCCAGAAGGCAACAGGGAACTAACCTTCCTTCTAAAGAGTCCTGGCATCCTTAAAAGGCAAAGTGGGATATCACAAAGTAATTTAGTTGGGGAAAGACTGCCAAGACCATCGAGTCCAACCTGTGACTGAGTCCAACTCACTGCTCTGGACTGGGTGACAAGGTGGGGATTGGTCACAGGTTAGAGATAATGGTCTGGGAGGGCTTTTCCAAACGTAATGATTCTAGGATTCCCTGTGTGGCCACACTCCAAAGATTCCCCTTGATGCCAGCC